AACATTGCTTGTCCGTGACCTCTAGAATGACCCTTAATTCCTGATTTGACACCCCCATCAGTAAGACAACATCATTTGTCTGTTCCTTCCAAAAGCATTAAATATCCTGCTGACAGATGAATAACTTTTATGATGTGACATTGCTATGATTAAGGTTTGGTTGGTTTAAGGCACAAAAACAACATTGTTAGGTGTAAATAAGTGTTTTGTTTGGATAAAGAAAGAATCTTGGTTTGGGTTAAAACAACCCTGAAGGTAAGGGAATAATCATCCGCTGCCTGGGGGAACAAACAGCTGTGTCCTGTGTTAAAGTCATGATTCTTAAGTCTTTCGTGAAATTACAAAAAATGTTTCATACTTTGTATACAGTAGTTTTCATTGGAAAGTCTGGTTTCCCAAAGAGAATTCAAGCTCCCTACCGACGCTTACAGTACCTACAGTACAAAGTAAGTTTGTTTGCTGCACTGTAAACAAATACACAGGTTATCTGTCATTTCTGACCCCAGAATTCTGCGACCTGTAGTTATTAAACCACACTTGAAAACCATTGGGTTTCACCATAACAACAAAACTGAAATCTTAGGGATTATTACTTTAAAGTTGGGTGTTTTGTTGACACATCCATTAATCCCTTCCTCCTTACACAGACTTTCTTGCGCTATAATATCCCCTTACTTCCTCCTTTGATCCAAAGGACATTCTTCACTTTTGATATTTCACTGTGCTAATGAAGGTTTTATTTGGGTTTCTTTCCCTTTTTTCGGACTGTTCAACATGTTTAATGCTTTTGATTTGATTTTGCATGACCTCAGTGCCACAGAGTACGTTTTCCTCACTTAAAGATCAGACTGTATTGCTGTATCCAACATGAATGCACATGTGGCCCAGTACAATCTGTTTTAAACCAATGGTTTTCTATTCTTCATCCGCTAAACTACTATAGAGTTGGTGTTTTTTTTAACACTACACCAGCTACATAAGCACTGCAGTACAACTAACAAAACCAGTGTGCAATCATTTGTGACCCCTTTTGTGAAAAACCCAAGGGCAACATTTTAAACAGCGAATATATCAAATGGCTGCCACAAACAGTCAGGTAGCAGAGCGTTCTCCTGGTGACAGTGGGATTAGTGCCGCAGGTTTTCTCTCAGGACCCGAGGAGTCGGGCTGCAGCTTGAGTAACTGGATTACAGCCTTTTCTCATTTCAAAGGGGTTGTGAACTCAGCAGAGGTCTTGCATGATGAAATCAAAGTGGCAGCTGAAATGGAAGGGAGAAAAACAACAAGAGTTTCTCAAAAGTCTCCAGGAATTGTCCCAGCAGCTAATGAGAGAGATTCTAAATCAATGATCTTTGCTTCGCCGTGTCACCAGCATCTGATGCAAGAATTCTGAGAACTATCCCGAAGCTAAAACCAGGAGGGGAACATCATCTGGAGAGCTGGGATAATTTACAATAAACACCTTCTGATTGGAAATCATAAGGAAACAACAAACAGCAACACACCTCTTTTTTAACTACCTCTTAAAATGTGCGTCAAAGCTATGGCAGGAGCACAGAGGGGAGTCGAGGTGGAGCCCATTCCACCGAATACCCTGTGGTAACTTTGGGGATTATTTCCAAATCCTTTCAAATGAACTTTCCATCTCAGTGCCTCCTCCGCCATCTCAGCCATTCCAACTGTCCAACCATTTCTACATCACTTTCTGCACAACCTCGCATGGAACCAAGGCCAAAACAAATGCCTGTGAGAAATATGGTCAGCACACATCAGGAGGATGAATCCCACTTTCAATATTTAGGACTGGAGTTTAGTTGTATCACTGTGTTAATCCGAGACAAAAAACTAAAGCATGTTGTGCATATTTACAATAATAGAAAAGGGTCAGAAAACTGTCAAATATGCGAAAATCTAACTTTTAACTTACATAACTTGTTTTTCAAGACCAAAGTCAAAACAGCGTTATATGTTAAAGCCTCAAGTCCTTAGAGAACATACTGAAACAACGAAGCATTTCAGAGTTATGATATGATTGTAGATTTCTTAAAGTAAAACAAGTTCCAACTGAATAGGTTCCATATAGGTTTTCCATTTACCTCTACATGAAAAAACGCAACCCTAGCTGGTGCCAGGACTTAACTGAAAACACTGCAAGGAAAAGTAGGGCTAAGGTCAAATATTCCATGTTGTCAAATATCCCTAAGCATAATAAATATGTTGTGTAACTTTTCATAGAAACGTATTCAACAACTGTGTTTTATAGATGGAGATTAATGAAGGGAAATAAACTAAAGAGTATTTCTCATAAAGGTACGGTAAGCATTATTATAGATCTCAGCCTACACAGCTTCAAACCTCCAGCGTCAGTGGTTTAGAGAGCTGCCCCTTTGTAAACATTGTGCTGTGATATGCATGGGGTGAAGGGGTGAAGTGATCTGCATGGGGTGAAGTGTGGGCCGTTTTGTTCAGGAGGCCAAAGAAACAGAGCTTGGAAGTGAACGGAGCTCACTGAAGCAAAGTTGATGGCAGAGATACGTTATACACGCTCAAAGAGCTGGAACACAAACAGCCACAGTTTGTAAATTAAACCCAGAACCAACCCCCCAACACACACACAGACACACACACTCCACTGTGTATGTGGAGAAAGAGAGGAGGGCATTTCAACAGAAGCATGTTGTCAGAAATCAGCTATGGTAGCTGATTAATTTATGTTATTATACCACTCACACTATAATAAAAGAAAAGTGTCCCTTATCCTTTAAAACCCTTAGACTTTAGGATTGCTTTCCCATGTGAACACTCCACTCAGCAATGCATTCAAGCACTCATTGTGCACCATTTCAATTTTATGACAAGCAGGCCAGTTTTGTGAGATTTTTTGCACCTCATTCATCCATTCACACACCGTGCATTATTATGGCCTAATCAACGCATGCTGTGCTTTTTCTCAGTGCTGAAACTGCCTGAACAAATGCGAGAGGCAAAAGAAAGAGAAGGAGGAGGAGGAGGGGGAACCGGCTGTGCTACACAGCTATTCTCCTGCTGCAAAGCTTCATGCACGGCGGATCGCATACCGACACTGTGAACTGACAGGGATTTTATTTAGTAGCCCCACTAATGAAAATAACCTGGGGATAATTTGCATGCACACAGCATTAGTTTACTGTTTTATTGTAATGTGTAAAATATTTTAAGTTATGTTTTAAAGTTACTTTTTGTATTTCTTGATGCAAAAAACAAGAACTGTTAACATAAACAAAGGCATCTGAATAAAATTAACAAAATCACATGGGATTTTTAAGTGTTAATTTCAAGATTCAACCTCCCTCTCCCGACCCGTCATTTTTTCTTTTCTTGCAGAGGAGGTTTGAGACCCAAGCGGCAGCAGATCGTTCCCACATGCTTCCCTGCCGCTCGGCTCTCCAGAGGTGTCAAGCCAGCCTGAAAGAATGAAGTGCCTCCCTATTGTGCGACCCAACTATTATGTGCTTAACATTTCCATGACAAAGATGCCACTCGACTTCTCCTCCATCCATTCAGCTGGAGGGCCCTTGTCCCCTTCTAATAAAACATTTTGCTGCAAATCATTGATTTAATGCCCTAGAAGCTGCATGACGAAAGAGAGATTGCATGATCAAGAATATTTCATAAAAATAATATTGTAACAAATGTTAGAAATTAGACATTATAATATGCAAAATACTGCATAAAGTTTTTTTTTTTGCTAAAAACCGAAATTAATTAATATTGTACCTCGAAATTCAAACTAATTAAAGAATGCTCTTTAATCCAATTAAAAACCCACACACATTGATTGACATGTTTGTAAAAAAGGTTTGTTTGCATCTGTAAGTAAAACTTTTGTTGTTCTTGTAAATCCTGATTTTCAATCTATTATGAACACTCGTGATTTTAATTGGAGTATTTGTATATGATTAAAACGGAGCGTGGCTTTAACAGTGAGGGTAGCTGCTGATACCTGAGTGCAGAGGGTGTTGGTCTGGGAGGGGGGGGGTGTTCGGTTGATTTATGGTGCCAGTTGCTTTTGACAACAGCCTGCTAAATCAAGACATAGCGGGTCATTAGGCTATCAGTCAACAGAGGAATTTGGCGTGCATTTTAAATGAGCCCATGTTATTCTCTCTAACAAACACATTTTTATATAAAAACGATATTCCTTTAAACTGGTGAAATTGATATATAGATATGTATCTTCATTAACAGCAGGATTTGTATACAGTTTATTATTAACCGAGTAAACCTCACTATAGTTACTGTAAAAGCAAACTAAGGAGCTTATGGATATGGATCAAAATGTTACTTTTACCAATAAAGTGGCATATATTATGCACATCAGGTAATTCTGCAAAGTTGAATAGGATTTTTTAGACATTATAACAAGTGTGTGAATTTATTAAATAAGTCACACACTTTTGACATTATTTTGTTACCTAACCGAAAATCTTATAAAGCAGGTTACTTCAACCTGATGTGAGAAAGAGTCATGAAAGGACATTTAAAAAAATTAGATTTTTGTCAACATATTTGTGTTCATAGTGTGTTTTGGCTTCCAACAACTTATCCAACGTTTATTTTCCACCATGCATATTAAAACAAAAAAGGTGAACTTGTATTGTTTACAAAAACTCAAGTTGACTGAGCAATGACAATGTGTCATAAAATGTTTTGAATTCTTTAAAAAGAATGTACTTAACTCTCTGAATTAACAGTATCATGGGAGTATTGTGGCAAAAAAATAATAACTCAGTCAAGAATTATATCTTCAAGTTTCCTTTATGCCTTCTATAAAAGTATATCATTAAGGCAAGCATACAGTGGATTTAGACATTTCTTTCTCTAGGCAATACACAGTGAATAAATCATATCAGTCTAAAAACATAAAGGATTCTCTGAAAAAAAACTATATAGGTTATACACATATATACAATACACATTATCTTTGAAGAGAATCGATCAAAATGACTTCCCTTTAAAGCTGGAATATTCAGTCTTTTATTCACATGATGAACATTTGGATGTAACTAGGTGGCATGTAATAAATTACTGTTTCACTTTAACTCCTAATCTATTTACAGTTTTATACAGTTCATAGATTCCAGCATTAAATACTTGTAAATCAAATAGCCTGGTGCCAAATGGCAACAGTGTCATATAAAAATAGTTCATATCTTTAAAAAAGAAAGAAAGAAATAAAAGATTGGCAGTGCACAGCATACTGATTAAGCCTTTCATTGTTTCCAAAACAACTGTCTCTATGTGGCAACTTTACAATCAGAGTCTGTGACCTAGAGAAAGAAGACAATCTAATTTAGCTTATCACTAAAGCAAAGCATCTGGAGAGCCGTGAAGTGGTGTGGCTTGATAAGAGGAGCAGCCTGCAACTCAGGCAGTTTTAAAAATAACTTTCTGGTCCCATTTGCATAGAAAATATCCTGATGTGTTATCCTTCAGCGTCTACAACTCTTTACTCAAACAAGGTCTGCGCCCAAACACCATCTCCTTTAGTCTGTGAGGCTCTAACCTTTCACAATAGACGAAGGTCAAAGAGTGACAGAAGTTTAGATTGCCTTTTATCCGGACAAAAGTCGGGGCAGATTATGAACCCGGGGATTAAATGAGGGGCAATAGAGCCAAGATGGATGCCAGCAGGGTCAACACACAGTGGGCTGCTGGAAGAGGGGCTCCGCTGCCCAGCTCCTCTGTATTGTACAGTTCCGTGGGGTCCTCATCGTCTGGATACTGGTCGTAGTCTGAGCCGCTGCCCTCCTCCCTCACCGGAGAGTCGAAGCACAGAGTCTTCATGCTGTTCTTAACATACTCACAGATGGCCCTCTCAGTCCCGTCACACATGCATGTGTCCAGCTGCTGACCCTTGGGTATTTTACGCATATTCGCGATCACATTCCGGCAGGCGTTTGTGCAGATTGCCCCGCTGAAAAGTTTCCCGCAGTGCTTCAGATAGTCTTGCATGGAGGAGCTGCACTGCCCGTCTCTCTCGCACTGGCGCCGGGCTTCCGTGCAGCCGGTGCTGGTAGTCCTGGGCAGGCACGGCTCGATGGCCCGTTTGGTGCCCGTGCACACCGGGTCGTGCGCGCAGCTGCAGTCCTCCAGAGCCGGCCCGTTTTTGGTCAGATTTAGCTGCACCAGCGAGGAGATGCAGTGGCTGGGGCACTTCCTCTTCTCCCCGTTCAGCACGGGGCCACATGCGCGCGAGTAGTGCTCGTATGCGTAATTGCACTCGGGCTCGGCTTGGCAGTTCATGATGGCTTGCCAGCATATCAGTCTTCTACCGTGGGACGGCGAGGCCACAGAAAAGTAGCCAAAAAACAGAAGCACACAACCGAGAGGCCAAACACATCTACAGACACTCCGTGCCAAAGAGCAAGAGCTTGCCATTGTTCTGGCTGCAAGAGAGGGTAAAACTCACAACAGTGTCATATGCAAAACCTCTACACTACTCCCATGAATAGTGTCTTAACTGGAGAGTGTCATTTACTCCGAGGCAGATGGTGTGTGATAGGCCCGTGTGTGGGCGTTCAACAGGCTGGCACTGCGCTGTGTAATCCCGGCTCCATAAACCCGTCAGCGATGATCCATTTGAGCCGGATTCTTGGGCGAAACTCCCGTTATCCATACATGATTGGGGGAAACTGAAAAAGAAACGTAGGCCTACAGGAGTAAAACAAAAGACGCCGACAAGAAGTTCTCCAGAAGTTTAAGAAAGTTTCTGCAGTGGTTCATTCCATCGCAGGGATTCTCTGAGTTCATGTAACAAAACTGCCTCCAGCTCAGTGAGCTCCTGCGCCCTCTCTGCTAGCGGATCTCAGACAAAAAGCGAAGCCGTAAGTCCCGAGAGTCCTTTGGAGGAGTGCGCTGGATCATTTAGCAGTCCTTGTGCGCACGGGTTTGCAAACAAATAGTGCATGGGGAAAAACAACAACCCTTGTGGGTCGCAAAGTGATCCTCTACTCTCTCCCCTTTGAGCATTTGTCTTTCTGCCCCTCAGCCCCTTCTCTACATATTAGCGAGGTGCTTCTCATTGGCTGGCCACTTGTTGTGGGTTCCTACGTAATGAGGGGCGGGAGTTCAGAGTGGGAGCAAGATGGGCTTGAGAAGCACAAGGTCAGGTGAGATGAATGTGTTTGAGAGTAGATTTAGTGAAACAGCAGTCCTCTTCTAATATAACAGAAGAGGAAGAGGAGGAGGGGGGGATACTTTAAAACTTTTCATGCTAACAGGGTTCTATAGCCTACATTTAAATCAGAACATATCACAAACCGTCACACAACAAAGTATTGTGATGGTATGTTTTAAGTTAAAAAAAGAAAGTTATCATTAAAATATTGATACTTTAATTTATGATCACCAGCTTTGGTTATTGTTTTAATTTAAAGTATTACTAAATAAAAAAATACATAACATATCTTGCCTGAATGATAGCGAAAGACAAAGGAATGTATTTAACCTTAAATATTATATATTACTATACTATATTAATTAAAAAAGGATATTGTAACATGGTTTTAAGGGGAAATCATAAGGTTTCACAAAATAAGTGTTGATATCTTCCCATTATAATCATGAGCTGTTGCTTGCAATGTTTAATGTACAATACTAAATATAATCTCATGACGTATTCCTCGCTTCATGTAACAGAGGTCCTCAAAGTCACAACTACAGTATATGCGACAAGACCAGCACGACACCCCAGTAAAGCACTTTCTAAAGTGTAATATTCTGTAGATAGTTGAAAGTGACACTGTGACTTCTGTACAATATTACACTGAACTCCATGCCTGCCGTGCTAATGATCTGTGCAGCATCCTCACTGATAAATTAATCATGCCCATCCTATTAACTCTTCCTCAGCAGAGCAGTTGAGCACAAATTCATTGGGGGATAAAAAGGGCACTCAGTGAACATCATTTAATATAATCACACATTAAGGCTAACTTCCCCACTTCCTATTATTGCAAATGGTAAGCCGGTGAATCACGAGGACATTCATTTGCAGTGTCTTGCCTCAACATGTGATCTGGTATTAATCCAGTCAAACTAACACGACTGACTGCAGCTGTTTAAAGCATATCATCAGCCTGTGTTAATAAGTGGACTCCAGGAGTTTTGCTGTAAATAACTGAATCATTTCTTTATGCATCTACTGTGTGAAACAGGTGTCAAGATGCTTTGTTGGGCAATGGGTAATAAAAAGTGACAGTTTTTCAAGTTACTGATTATCCCTGAATGTAAATCATAATACAGTATCTTGATCTGCCTCTACGCCAGACTTCTCAATGCACACTTACATAAATGTTACAGTTTTTATACATTAGAAATATTCCTCATATTAATCTCTAAAAACTAAATTAACACAGAGAATGAAGATAAATTGCAATTGTACAGAGTTGTAATATCTTTAGTGGTTTTGACTTGCATATGACAAATACAGTAAGTAGTTTTTCTGTGGTAAGAGTATCTCATTTTCTAAACTGTAAAATAAAGCAGTAAGGGGAAAAAAAACATTCAGACGGTCTTCGAATATTTCATCCATAGGTTTGAATCAAAACAGCAACAACTGGCATGTTTAATAGTATTGGATGAACTGACCTGGACCAAAGAGCTGTTTTCATGGATTAACCTGCTGTTGATTTCTTTGATTAGTCATCAAAATGTGGGAAAACTACAAAATAAAAGCTGCAGTTCTTAAAGAAGCCCTCAATTATTATGTTATCGCTTTTTCTCTGACCATCAAAAAGGTAGTAAAGATTCTGAATACCTTGTTGGTTTTCAAAACACTTTGGACTTTTATAAGACCTTAGACTTTTGCCCAAATACATCTCGCTGGACCTCATCATCAAAATAACACACAAGGGTGTGTGGGAGTGTCTGTGTGTGCGTGTGTTTGTGTGTGAGTGAGTGAGTAAAATGATAGCCCACATGTTGACACATGAGCGAGAGGAGGCAGTTTAGTTCTTGAGGCCTGATGTGGATGAGGGAGTCAGGGAAAGAGAGCAGCGAGGGCACAAAGGCTGTTTGTGTTTCAAACAGCATTCTGATCTCAGGAATGTACCTTTAGGCCACAGCCGTGAGCTTCCCACTGCAAACAATGCACTCAATGTCAGTTACGGCTGGCTAGCACAGACGCTGCTGGCGCTACTCCAAAGTCCCAACTCGTCGAAAATGATGGATACAGGGAACTCAATACCTCAGGAGTCCCTCTGCTGCCTTGCCCTCCAGCACAAAGAATAGCAACACCGTGTTCTTCCACAACAGATTCCCAAATCACGTCTTCATTGTTTTAAGTGCACAACTGTAATAGGAAACAGAGGCAACACCATTCAAGCAAAGACTTCATTCATCTTTTTATATTTGTGTCAATAAAACAGCAATGTTAGCCTTTCAGAGTCTATAATAATTTGCATGTTTTGAAAATGGATTAAGTCAAGACTTCTAGGAGAAAATACCTCTTTAAAATCTCATCAACCACATAAAAAAACCTTTCATCCTAAACACTTACAGACGAGAAGAAAGCTGATCGAATCATCCAACACTTTTGTCTTTGCCAACAGCTGTATGCTTAAACCAGATGTGCTGCACCGAGAGCGGAGTGTCGTTACTTTGAGGGCTCAATTAAACCAGAGTTCTCGCCGCAACAGTCCAATTAAGGGACAAACATATTGATATTAAAACTCCCTGCAGGTGTTTTGTAAAATTACTTAAAATATAACTTTGGTTAAAAAAGAATAATGGCTTCAACTTGTGTTTACAGTTTCTGTTAGAAAGAAAAACTGAAACAATTTCATTTAAGACATTTATGATGCTCGATTTGATACATTTTGACATTCTTGCTGCACATTTTAAACATTTCCAACTCATTAATGGTCACAGGACTGCTGCTGTTGGAGTATAAAGAGAGGATTTCAAGAGTAACTGCTGGAGCTGAATCCCAGCAGAGAAGGTCAGCAGCAGTGGGCCTGCACAGCGCCGTCTGAAAAAGGAAATATCAGGATACAGGAAATGAGTTGGCAGGAACTATCCATTCAAATTGCTTCCTCTTTGGGATTTCAGAGAAGCGATAATGGCAAGTGATAAGTTATTTGGAACGGAACTAAATAAGATTAAGGATTCATTTCCTTCCTCGTGTCCGCCTATTAATTTGCCTCTGGTTAGTCCCTCCTCTTCTGGGGATTTGGGTTGATTTGTTCGGTGGGGAACTGCACAGTGACGCACAAGTGATTACAACTGTACACGTTGGCAGATACTGTCAGAAAGTCAAAAATAAACCAACTATTTTTATCATTTCCAAGAGTTTTGCGGTATTCCTAGGCATTTTGATGTTAAGGGAGGATCTCCTGCAGCACTAAATACCAACACAAACGTTTTCAGCTTTCAGGGAAATAAACACATTTGACTTAAAACCAAGTCAGTGTTACACACCCACATTTTTAGAGAGTATGAAATTGAAACTTCCTTTCCTGTTGTGCTTCAAAGTTACTTAACTGAGTGGGTGGATCCCTTCTTCAAAAACCTGCCACATGGTTAAAATGTTAAATGAAGTGTTATGGGGGGCGCGTTCCTTTAATCAGTGAGATTAAAGTCATCCATCATGTCAAATCGGCACTGATCCTGCTGACCCTTTTAGCACAGTCCACTGCATTATAACTTCTAGAAGACCTGATCTGCACATTGGTGTCCCATCAAAACAGAAAACAGACTGATAAAATAATCATCACAATCAGGCGGTGGCAGCAGCCATAATTTAAATAGGTTAGTAATCAAGAGAATGTATGGATGAGTGTAACATTTTATTAACTTAAACTAGGGTTTTACTGTGTATTCGATCAGCTTTGTTGAAAAGGAACTAGCTGCAAGGTGCACCGTACCATCGGTCGGTGTCTGGTTTCAGACACAGACCTTTATTCATTTCCTGTCTTCTTTCTACTGTCCCAATAACAAAAGTCATATAAACGCCCCCGCCCCTAAAAAAACAATGTATATTAAACATAAATGTATGTTTTTTTTCTGATATTGTAGACTTCCAGTTGACCAGACAGGAAGTCTACAGGTATTGTGACCTTTTTGTGACAGGGCAGAAATGCCGGAGAGAGAGAGAGAGAGGGAGAGAGAGAGAGAGAGAGAGAGAGAGAGAAGTATGACATACATCAAGGGTGCTAAGTCCAGGATCAAATTGCATGCACTTTAGCTTCCTGCTACACTAAGGAGCTCTAAAAGACTTTGCAAACCGTCCAAACACCATTCTACAATTAAGCATGCACGCCAAGTGTTTGCTCACAGGGCAACAATGGCTAATACCACTTTGCAACTATAAGTGTTAAAGAGACGGAGGCCCTCCTCTCCCCGCGAGCTCCCAACTGGAACCTGCAAAACAGTCTCGAGGGTTATTTTCCTTATTTGAGCCCCTAAAACAGGCAGACCTAGACATCCTGGCCCGTATGTCCTCTAATAGTAAACAGCAAAGTCCATTAGTGGTGGAGAATGTGCTTTTAGATCTGTAATTACATCCAGGTCACTTCTACAGTATTTACCTCGACAGACCTCTCCGAGTCTCTACACGGCCTCCACACACGAGCAGCTGCTTCAACACATGCTGCTCAGCCATCAGCCAGTATGAGCGGCTGTTTATACAGGCCCGAAGGCCTTTCATATCAATGCAGACAAACACCAGCACATATGGACCAACCAATAAAGACCTAACCTCCGACACAGACACATGACCTTAATCTCCCCAACATGGAGAGCAGCAAGACAGAATTTACCATGTAAAAACACAACAAAGAAAGCATGTGCTAAACATGCCTGATCTCATGTTTATAAAAGATTCAGCTCCTTCATTGAGAGTGATGGGGACTTAGACAGTTCAAGTGAACTGCATTCCTTATTATTGTTGTATTGTATTTTTTACGACTAAAGATGTGGTGATAGTGGTGTTATAACTGACTGAAGTGCTATGTCGCTTAAAAGAAAATGTGAGTGCTGCTGCAAATCTAGTCACTGAACTGAATTACTAATACCAAAAGAACACCTGAAGTATGACGAATACTAAAATGTTTCCTCCTGATTACCACAATTAATTAAACAGCGTCAATCCATTGGCATGTAATGTTGTCCTAACACAAACAGTTCAGAACTTGACCTAACTTACAGCAGGAACTATCCGGAGCCAACTTTCAATTCTCAGCAGTTTTTAAACTTGTTAGATTGAACACTTTGTGTTAGCCACTGAAGAAGATTTGAGGTTCAATACCAAGCCCTATATTGGGTAAAGGATACTTTCAGCCCCAGTATCCTACAAAGTGTTAAAACTAGACCACTCTAGAGGTAATAATTTACGTCCAATGCCAAAGTTCAGTGCCCTTCGAGAGTGTGTACTATATGTGGCGTGGCATGGTAGAAAGTAAGGGTGTGGAGGTTGGAGTAGTGGGTAAGAATGTTGCATGTTTGACTTCATACAGGAAACCACAGTTTGTGTCCCGTCACAGACCTGCAATTATTGTTAGGGCCATCTGGAAAAAGCTTCAAATACTTGAGGTGCTTAATTACTTTGGTTTATTATGCAATATTTGTCAAACTAATGACATCAACTGTACCTGAGCTTAGCAGTGTTTATTTCCAATTAGCCTTGTGTTAGCATGTTAACCACCAACAATCTTTATACTTTGATCTTTTTGTAAATTCTCTCATTAAGGAAAGTGTTGCCATTAACTATTCATTATTGACTAATCTGTCAATTATTTTCTAGAGAAATTAATTAATAGTTTGCTCCATAAAACAAAAGTCCAAGGTGAAGTCGTAAATTTATTTATTTGTCAGTCCAAAACTCACATTTCCAGATTGAAGAGGCTGGAAACATTTTTCTTCTGTTTGTGTGAAAACATGTTCAAAGGGTTATTTCATTGGCGATTATTTTTTCTTTAATCAATTTGTCGAATAAAACTCTAACTTGGCATACTAGGTTGAACATGTTCTTTTAATAAAGAATTACATTGAAGCCCTCTGTGCGTGTGTAACATTAATGCTACCCAGTCTTTGAGTACACAGTCTCTAGGATATGTAAACAACAGAACACTCTGCAGTATACCATCTCACCCTATCGTACAGCTTTCGCACGGCTTTCATACGGCTTTCATACTTGCATCCCAGAACCCCTGCAGTTTTTTGGCAGGCCTCCAAACCTCGAGTACCAATTTAAGAGATTAGACCCAGAAAAAAGCACACGAGACCAAGACAAATGGCCCCCACCAGATCTCCCCCAGCCAACCTCTGGCATCCTAGTCTGCTATAGAGCCGTCAAGTAGTGCGGGAGGGAATGTGAAACCCAAGCATGTTCCCCCATTTGGCACGTTCCTGAAGCTCCAACGCAGTTATGAGGCCACTTCATAGGAGTGTAAACTGTGTATTTAAAAAGCCGTCATTGTGGGACTAACATTGGCCCTGGTGTAGGTTGTTAGAATAACTGAATGACACAATGGTTTCTTTTCTAAATAAACAGATGTGGGAAGGCTATTAAAACCTACATTTTTTTCTCTTCCTCTCGGTCTCCTCCTCCCCTCCATTTGTAAGTGGTCACACACACACACACACACACACACACACACACACACACACAACACACACACACACACACACACACACACACACACACACACACAACACACACACACAACACACAACACACACACACACACACACACACACACACACACACACACACACACACACACACACACACACACACACACACACACACACACACACACACACACACACACACACAACACACACACATCACACACACACACCACACACACACACACACACACACACACACACACACACACACATGCACACACACACACACACACACACACACACACACACACACACACACACACACACACACACACACATATATACACTCTCTCTCTTTCACTAACTCACTGCCTCACTCACTCTCTCCTTCTCTCTTCCTCCCTCCGTCCACATGTCTAAGAAAGGCAAAGGCCCAGTTCCCTCCTGCAGCTGTTCAGCACAGACGGGCCTCTATTCCAGCCTCCACACTGAAGTGATATCGGTCTTCTGCATATGCTGATTAATTGCATGTCATTCTTAGCTCCTCCAAGACTACTGCCCCTCTGCAGCCCCCGAAAAGCACCCCACTCCTCCTACCTCACTCCTCCACCCACACTGCACATGGAGGAAATGAACTCCAAACCACAATCCTGCTGGCACTGGCCTCCTATCAAATCGAATACTCAATGAACGATTACTGTGCGATTTCAAAAAGACCAAATCCGTTCCTAATAATATTCATAATTCACAAGTAAGCAAGGAGCTTACTTTACAATTAAAGTTATTATATGTTTTCCGATCAGTAGATTAAATATTTTCAACATTTCTGTTTAAAAAGGTAGTTTAAAAAAGGTTGTCTAGTACCAGAAAGAAAGTTGCTTTATATTATTAGAAGAAACAATAAGTATTATTACAATAAGTGATAAGACAGCCAAAATGTTAATAATATAAACTCCAAGGAATGACTTGTAAAGTATTGCCCATCTGTTTGATTTAAGGCAATATCCAGGAAAAGCAGAACACCATGGTAACAACAACTTGGCTTTGCTATACTACCAAGATAAAGTGAAAACTATTGCCACCAAAAGATCTGGACTCTGGAAGAGCTCCAAAGGCAGAAACTACAAAGATCTGAACTCTCAATTTAAGGCACATTTGTGATTTGTAATTAAAGGTGGGGTAGGTAAGTTTGAGAAACCGGCTCGAGATACACTTTTTGTTATATTCCATGGAATGCTCTTAACATCCCGATAGCAATGAATATCTTAAGTGCTTTGACAAAAGATCCATTAAAAAATGTCATCTGTGGAAGCCGTAATACTGTAAAAAGCACGACCAATCATTTTAGCCGGCCCGGCAAAAATAACTGGATGGCCTACCTGCCTGTCAGCCTTCCAT